AATTTATGAGGTATTAAGCGTAGAATATAGATTCGTAGCAAGTGCTACGTTGCGTTCTACGTCTCGGAGATGTCTCTATAAATCAGTTATTCGCTACGTTTTAGGCTGTTCATACACGGATATTGAAACAGGTTGTATTGACTGCTTCCAGCGACTTAATTTTTTTTTAATAAAAGATGAACAAGCAGGTGAAATACACTGTGCTGTTGATCTAAAAAATGAGCTACCGTGTCCTAGTGTGTACCAAGTCCTGTCCGGTCGTAATTTTTTTTTTAATATTTCAAACGTGGAATTACACTGCATTTGCATTTTTGGATCTTCCCCGGATCAAATTTTTATATTCCCACCAACTACGTCCTGACGAGATTTTCTAGACGGGGGCATGGGTAGAACAAGAAATTAAATAAATGTAGTGGAAATCAAAACCGGTCGAGTGCAATTATGTTCTTTCGGTTTTTTATTTCCGGATATATTGTATAATATTATTTTTTTATAAGTTTGCAGATTAGATAACACTGTTTATTTAAACTTGGTACTTATTTTAACACGATCAACATTTTAATCAAATTTATTTTCGTGTAAAATTACAAAAGGAAGGAAGAAGTCTTATCTATATTTTTTGTCTAGAGCGGACAATAAAACCTTTACGATAAATTATTTTTGTTCTCAATGAATCATTCTAAAGTTTTTTTCGTAATAATAATATCTTCAAACATATTTTTAGATTTTTTTTGTAAATAATGAATGAAATTATTATCGTTATATCTATATCATTCATATGAGTTCAATGACCTCATCTCTGCAGGTGGTCAATCAAAGATGCATTTCAGATACACATTAGAGTTTATCGATGCTTGATAATTGTCGATCGAGTCCGATTAAATTCCAAGACAACCAGTTTCCCAAATTGTTTATATTTATGAATTGGCTCGTGCCGTTCCGGAAATCCTTGTCTATCTCCAATACCGGAAGCACTTTTGGTCTTAGATGGTGAATCTAAAGAATTTGACAATTACGTTATGTAATTTCTCGAACTTTGGTTCTGTATATTGTTTATCCTTTTTCATTCAAGTTGATACTGCAAATATCTTTGCATATAGATACATCAGTTTTGCTACTACTGGTTAGATGGTTTTTGTTTTTTGTTGGTTGTGTTTAGTGTGCCCGTGCGATCCGCACTGGGCGCTGTTATCAGTAACGCGTCGCTTTTATAGACTCTGGCGCCGTTTGTGGACTGATAAGGCGACATTTGCACTCTTTTGTTCCGCGTGATAGTGTCGCGGAATTGTCATTTCTATTTGTGGTATTAAAAAAAATATTGAGAGAAATCTAGAATAACTGATACGGCTGATCTTGTTTCATTGTGGAATTTTATTATATGAAGTGACAGCGTAAGTAGACCGCTACGTAAATATCTTCTTAGCATAGTTCTTTCCTCTCTTAAAAGGGATTCCTGAACATAAACCTACCAGACTGCTAAAGTGCAGATTAAAGATGCTGTTGTTAGCGTTTACAAAAAAATACATTTTCTTTATCGCTATATTATATTTAGTATGTTGTCCACGTCCATTTATATATTATCTTATGATATTTTTTATCAATATTTCACTTCTTAAAATTTAAGCGCAAGCAGTACACCAAATATGTAAATAAGATACAACTTATATTAGTAACAAGGTAATAATTGAAGTCTGTGTTGCGTATAACAAAAAAAAGTTGCAACCTTACATAAAGTAATGTTTTACATCGTACTGGCAACCATTCATCATTGTATTACGAGATATGAGCGAGCACAGATGATACAAAAAACATATTTCTAAGCCAACGCGATTACGTTGAAAAGTCGCAAGCGCAAAATAAATGGAAAATTACAAATGCATTGCACAATTGTAGCTAATCGTATGTTGGTGGGTTAAGGCTGATATTTGAACGTGACGTTACGTGACGCGCTCGACACGAGAGCGAGGCGTGATAGTGACGCTTGCGCATAACATTGTAGTCCACATCCGCCACTTTGTTTTGCGTTGCTATACAGATTTAACCCGGCGAAAAGGGCGCGACCGCCTCCGCTGGACTAAAACGCGATGCCTATTTAGACGCGAGAGGTGGGTTCGGACCCCACGGAAAAACAGAGTTATATTTACGTAAACACTTCACAAGTATTTATTATTGCATACAATGTTATTGAGTGGAAAATCTACCCATTATCTAGACGCATTAAATAAATATTTTTTTTATTGCTGCAGGTATTAATTATGTAAGCGAAAATTGTATCGTATCATTCTTTGGGAAATTACATTTCGCCTATTTTTGTACTCCGCTTACGTAAAATTCCTTTTAACGCTGAATGGGTAAATATTTAAATTTTGATAAAAAGTTAGTGTTGTTAAGATATAAATCATTGTTTATTTGTGTATTAAGTTCATATTCCTAATTCAATATTAAAAATATGTTGTAAAAGACAATTTGTTAAGCCCGGTCCTACAACAACAATATTACAATTATGAGGGCATACTGGATTGGAAACACAAATCGGATGTCCAATGAATTTGTTTATATTTTCCTAATAATTCTTCAAAATAATATTATGGTTACATATGTAATAAATAAATATATACTCGGTATACATTTATTTATTACCTAAATGAACCAAATAGATAATTTAAATATTGTAATAAATATTTTGTATTTTTGTTAATCACATATAGATAAAAAACACAAGAACATAATATCTATTTAATAATTAAACAATTTGAAGTATAAATTTGTTGTGACGGTGTATCGTGTAATTTCTTATCAATTTTATCAGCGGATCATTTTTCACGGTCTTATTACGTTAGTATTAAAGTCTATTGAAATTCGTGGTAAATAGCGATGTAGGGAAATATCTGAAATCGCTGGCGAGTGGCCAAGACACGCGAACTTTGGACTTCGAGTGCTGATTTCCTCATGAGAGTGTATAAATTGATTCGCTAGTTACACTTTCCACTGTTCGTATAAAAGTTGTTCGAAGGCTCAAAAACAGTGAGATACATATTATTCATCAGAAAGGATGTTTTGATGGTTACTAGAGATATTTAAGATGAACGCGTCTTTTTCTAATTAATTATAACAACAAAAACAATAGTAATAGAGTTTTTTTCTCGTCACTTTCAAACATATAAAAATAATCGAGAATTCCTCAGAAAACACTAATCCAATTTCAAAGTTATAAAAGTATAAAGTTTTAAGTTATACGTGAGGAAAAACGTCTAGTCAGCAAAAGAAAAGAGAATTAAAAATCGATTTTAAAATGTAAAAATTTACGACACGGACAGGAAATGGACACGGTAGCTTAATTGGTTAGAGCAACAGCACGGAAAGCTGTGGATCATAGTTCATGTGTACGATATAATTTTAAAAATCGATCACACATAAGATTTCTTATAATAACCGAAAATGACGGGGTTAATCCAAGTGTTATCAAAATATAGCAAAAACAGTTAACTGTGAGTTGAGTTAAATTTAACCAACTGATGACTCAACGATAACCTAATCTTTGTTGATAGACACCGACCAAGTTTTCAATGCATTTTCGACTCTATCCCTTAAACATAAGAAATATATGCGCTTGCGATTATTATAAAAAATATTGCACTTAAGTTTTGTTTTTTAAATCATTTTCTTGTAATCTACGCTTTCTTGATTTTCATTAAAGTTTTAGGTTAAGCGAAGTAAACTTTGTTTAAGATTCGAACATGAAAAGTTTATACACAGTAAATGCATGCATGCAATGCATTTGAAAATGTCGTTGCACATGATGTCACTATATGAATGAAAAATCGATTATAAATTTGCTACCCAGTCCTACACGTCATCGTCGCAATACGCAAGGTTTGGTAAAAAAAGGTAAAGATAGGTTCAATTTTTTTTTCATTTTTTAATAGATTTTTAATTCAAATCAATACATTCTTAAACTGATATTGATATTTGTCTTGTTTTCCTCTCGTAAATAGATACAAAACGAATGACTAACATTTGTTTTTCTGTATAAAATTCGATTTTGTGATTACTTGACTTTGTAACAATAAGAGATCTCGAACAGCCCTATAAATCGAAATGAAAGAAGTCGATTGGCACCTTTAGGTGTGTCTATAAATAAATTAAGGGACGTAACAAGTTCACCGACTTCTAGGGCGTGACGACACACAAACATCGCTGCGTATACTTTCACAACGCGAACTGTATATTCCTGTCTAGAGACGAAATACATTCTTGCAGTGAGGTATTCTTACTAACCCTTGATAACTAATTATAATGTGTCATAAATATGTAATATACTGTACTGTGTATCCAAAACTTTGTGTCGTAGATTATATATCTACGACACAAAGCTATCAGTATGTATATGCTAGTATACTTCGCATTTAAATAAAACACTTCAACGGTTAAAAATAACTTTCAAATAAGTTTAACTAAAATCTATCGCGTTTTATTTCGTTAAAATAGTTTTTATTTCACCTATATATTGACATTGGAAAAAATATTTGTAATTTTTCGTCAAATGGTTCCTCAAAACTTAAAGAAGAAAAATTTAACTATAATTGTATTAAAAGCAAGCCCTTTTTGCCATCTGAGAACTATTATAACTCAATCTAAACAAATGTATATACGTGTAAGGTATTTTTTAATTTAAATTCCCCAGACTTTGTCCTTGATGGCAAGTAAAACTGTTTTGTTTCCCTCTTTTTAAAATTATGAGCGTTTTGTATACATTCTCGTTAACACTTGTCTTATCCTTGAACATTTAGTACTAACACTTGTTAATAATACGCATTTTGAATAATATATCACTCTACAGCAATATATTGCGGATAACGGAGTCGTTGTCATATTTTTTCGCCCATTACTGGGCCATTCTACCTCGCATTAACGATCAAAACACTGCCAACTTCGAATGTAGCACGCGAGACATCGAAAACAGCAGGGCGTGGTCCGACGTGACCAGAATATATTGACCTATGCTCCGTATGATTATTTCCCCTCGCAGACCATTATTCAGTCGTAGGATCAAGGGTAAGGAAGACGCGCTTATATTGGGCAATGTTTCGAGCGCGTACATGCTATTTTTATGGACGCACGCGCCGCCCGCGTGGCAATGTTTTGCCCAGATACGCGTATGTTGAATAATATCCACTATACTAGTCACACACAAGCGACGTGGACTCACTACTATCTCCGCTGTCACTATGTGCTGACAATATTTATTGTTGTAAATACGCAAATGAGAATAAATTTGATAGACAAGCGATAATTAAAAATAAACATAATTATGAGCTTAATTGTAAAACTATTACGTGTTCATGTAAACAATTATTATCAACTAGGTAGTGATAAGAAGGATTTTAATGAGGTGTTTTTAATATTTTTAACTTAAAAACAAATATGTTTGAGCGCTCTACAAAAATATATCACATTATGTATAGGTATAATTGTGTGTTCTAGAATTCTGTAGAATTCCAATAACAGCCCCCATAAAGGTGTTGAGTCGACGACGATCCGCCGTCGACTGATCGCCGGAGTATTGCCCACCCCCTACGTTGACTACTACTCTGATAACGAAGACCAAGTACACATGACCTCTCACGCAACACAGATATCGAACAGCGCAATACAGGGAGTGAAACTGCGAGGGACCAACTAACACTAGTCGTAGATTAGACGTGCGCTTACGCAAATGGTAGAAGCATTAAAAAGATTGGCGAATGTCAACAAGAGATAAGTTGTCTGCAACAGCACTCGGGGTCACGGATCCATTTGTTTAGTTTACTTGTTTTGAATTATTTTTTTATTGACTTCAATGAAGGAAGCGGGATGCTATAATTGTTTGTTTTTGTGGAGAACATTTTTTAAGATGACCAAGATTCTCAATTCTATTATTCGTCTTCTTACTGTTAGTTTCTCAAGAAACTGTAGTTTCCACTCAAAATATTATTAAATATTTTTTGCTTGTAGTGAGAACTAATGTCATTGATAATTCTACAAACTACAGCTAGGTACGTTTTAATGCTTGATGCTAAATGTTTGGGGGAAATCAGAACGAAAAACCTCAAAATAATAAGAAAGTTTCAAACGTAAAAGTTATTATTATGAATAGTAACGAATTTATTGCATAGAACAACAAGTATAAAAACTCAGCCGGTTTGGACATTATCACGATATTACACTTAACGATAATTTATTTTTGTATTTATATCTACAGTAAAAATCCCCTCTTATCATTTTTCATCACACATCGCTTACAATCTAATCAGTGGTGAAATTTGTGTTTCATCATTACAAGGGGTAAAAATCATTTTACGAATCACTTCTAAAAGTATATAATTCATCAAACAGTTAAGAGATTATTAAAAAAAATATTTTTCATCTTCCACAACATGAATGCATGTAAATTGCAATTCCATTAGTATTTTTTGTGTAAATTATAATTCTTAACAATTATAATAGCCGACAAGAATAATCGTGAAATTAATTTGCATAATGTTATTTAATTTAATTTCACCAAACAATGATTCATTATTGAGTATTGAATTATTCATCAGCAATGATTATCATGAATAATAAGAATGATTATAATATTGATGTCTGACTTAATTTTTACTTTAAATACATCATATAGTATTTCGTGATATATACATTAATTTTGCAATGACAAATATCGGCCCATTAGCTCAGTTGGTTAGAGCGTCGTGCTAATAACGCGAAGGTCGCGGGTTCGATCCCCTCATGGGCCAAGAAATTCTTTTTATTTTTTTGTAGCGTAATTATTATAATTCTATTTTTAAAATGTAATAATTAAGGTCACAAATATAACATTTTGATGTTTTTTAACTAATCTCATGTGAGGCCCCTCTAGGCAATTCAACAAAACCATATTCTTCTTCATTGTTTGAGTGTTTAAACCGTGAATGTACCTTTATTAAAAATATTAGTCTTCTTTAGATATAATCCAAATTCAATAAAAATTGTGTTAATTTGGTTGCCTGGAAGAGATCGCTACTTAGCGATAAGGCCGCCTTTATTTATTACTTATAAATAAAGGCGGCCTTATCGCTAAGTACGTAAGATTTTTCCTCATTAATATGTATTTTCTGTGGTGTGTTTTATAAATAATAAATAAAAAACAAATAAATAAATTGTACAACATTCTTACTTGAAATATGTATTTATTATTATCACGTCACGTTAAATGAAAATGTATTTACTTCAAAGTACCTTATGTCTATCACTACTTCCCAAACAAGACTCAAATGATCAAATGATGTAAATACTGTCTACAGTATTTATATCATTTGAATTAAAGTGTTTTATTTAAACGTGCACTTCTCGCGTAAACTATAGATAATTCAATTAGTAAGCGTCTATGAAATATCGACTCCTCTTACATGAAATATCGACTCCTACATGAAATATCGACTCCTTACATGTTGTTAAGTATTGCGTGGATCAGCCGGTGAGAACCAGATGCGCTATCTAAGGTCTTGGCAAGGGTCGCACCCCCCGGTACCGTGCATCGAGATAATTTACAACTAGTAACTTAGTATTGTAAAATTGTTTTCTCGCTAGTTTTTAAGACATATATATGTACTTAAAATTTAGCCACGTACAGCGAAAATTCGCACACCTCGGTTTGAATCCCGGGAAAAGTATGAAATTTGTAGATGATACAAAAACTGAATAAGTTGTCTTTATATACTAATACATATTAAAAAGACTAGAGACATTTAAATAAAACACTTTAATGGTTTAAAACGCGATATATTAGTTAAACTTATTTGAAAATGATTTTCAGTAAAAAAATTTTTACTTTGACGTCAGAGACATCCTCCATCTTTAGTCTCCCCGTGACCACGGCTGCTGCAAAGCATCCGAAACGTCGGGCCGAAGTTAAAAATCATTTCCAAATAAGTTTAACTAATATATCGCGTTTTAAACCGTTAAAGTGTTTTATTTAAATGTGTACTACTCGCGTAAAATATAGACTAGAGACATGGAAAGGGTTTTCCTATAAATGTATTACTAAACTTCACACAGCTTTAAAGCACCAAATAGCGCCGTCCGTCACTCCATTCTAATTCCCAAACAAGAATGATGAAATATTGTATAGTTTACGCGAGAAGTACACTTTTATATAACTAATATATTGCGTTTTAAACCGTTAAAGTGTTTTATTTAAAATAATGATGTATATCGCGTGATATTCACATTTTCACAAGTCCTAAAAGATAGTGCGTTATCCGTATTATTAAAACATTGATGTGCTGTGTCACTTGTGCAAGTCAAGGGTCGTAACCTCAAAGACAGGGTTGTCACAAATTGTAAGTGCTTGTACTATTAAGCTTTTGTGTCAACTAACTCTCTACGCTTGGGCTCTTTGATGACAAATACCATTTGATCAATTGGCAAAATACGGTGTGATCAATAAAGTCATCAATATTATATTAAAAGTATTAAGTAGTAAATTATTGTTATTTTTTTGATAGTAGAGGTGTCCTGTTCTATCAAAAAATACAAGCACTTGATAGAAAGTTTAATATATATTTTACCGAAGCTGGATACCAATTGTCACTATCAATATTCGGCAACAAAGCATCGATTAGAGTTTGACTGTTGTTTTTTTAAGAGATTAAATTATTGATAACTGTATTATTTTTTACATGTGCACATGAAGGCACTATATAATTTAAAAATCGAAAATAAAATGAAAAAAATTTCGACTCCGGCAGGATTCGGTTCGGTAGCTCAATTGGTAAAGCAACAGCACGGAACGCTGACGATGCCGGTTCAAGTCCTGCCGGAGTCGAAAATGTTAACAATTTATTTTCGATTTTTAAATTAGATTAAATTATTGATATCAATAAATACTCTCTTCGTAAACTTGAAACTGTCTTGAATTACGTCCGACGGTTTGTTAACATTTTTAAATGAATAATATTACATAATTAAATACTATTTAATACACAACCCTATCTTATATCCCCACAAAGACGATAAACACGATGTCTTTAGATAATGATGACTTTTGAGCACACGTTAGTTTATCTTTGCAATAATATTGGGAAATAATATGTAAAACGTACTTCCGAAATAATACTATATTTCATGACTAAGAACATTGCGCAACGTAGGTACCTACTTAAGATCTGATTTCGAATCCAGAGGATAAATACTGAATAGTTTCGGACGAACAGGGTGCAGAACCACATGGTGCAGAAGTGTGTCGCTCCATGACCGGAGTAAATAAAGAAGATTTCAGTTTTTAATTTTAGCATAAACAAAAGGTACAAAATAACGCCATTCTAATAATTTCTGATCCACGTGGAACGGTTTTTGACACCGCTGTATATATTTTAATTATATGTCCAATAACATTATTCCTTTCGAATTACTACGCTTTTTAAATGGAAGATATATAGAAATGTCACACCTTATTTCACGAAGATTTTTCTTACACTGTGGTATAGGAACACAACCACTGAACCATCTCTGCAATAACATTATATGAATGGGACCTTAGTGATACCTCAATCCGGTTCGCCAAGCAGTTGGCAGCGTATCGCTCCAGTATACCGCAATCAATAACAATATTCGCTGATACGTTATCGCGCGTGTTGAAAAATACCTGCACGAGATCTTCACGTGTCGACTGCGTGTTTTTTAACCGATTGCACGAAAAAGTATATTGTTTAAAGACAAGACATACAAAGATGAGGTTTTGACGAGGCAGCAATCATCGTGGGCTCGATTTAATCGTGGACAAAATACTTCCCAAAATAATTTAAGAACAAATAACACGTGGTCCGGAAAATATGGATAATAAATGTGTGGCGACAGCGCGATCGTGGGTCCGACCCCGACGGGCCCAACACTTTACCGCATCGATTATTAATTTTTCTTGAAACGTGGTGGAACTCGTTTGCGAATTTGGATAGTAAAAGACTGAAATCGCTCGTTTCGGTTTAATTAGTGCATTTCTGAATATTCAAATCCAAAATAGGTCTATAGCGTAACTTATCTTTATAATAGAAATAAAAAAAGCTTTGCAAAATGGCTGCAAAGGCCTTATATAGTTGAAAACTTTTTTATTTTCCTTTACAGTCATAAGTTTCGGGAAACAGTGGATAAAAAAGGTATGCTGTAATGGATAAATTGTCAAAGGTTTATTTATTCTGATGACCTACAGAGAAATATTGTCTAGATATTTTTAACATACGTAAGGTGCGTCGATATTGTATAAGCGTGGGAGCGGCCCTACGATACAGATAACGGTAGGTGATAACGTGACCTCTGTTTTAACGACTCTACAATAATAGGAAATATATGTTGCTAATTGTTTAGTTATGGCTAAATTAGTACTGAAAAACACGCTGTTAATGTTGGGCATTCGTGACATCCTCGGACTTCATTCCCCCCGAAACCACGGCTGCTGTAAAGCATCTAAAACGTCGCGCGGTAGTCAAAATAAATTGTAAATAATTTTAACTAATACATTCCGCGTTTTAAACCGTTAAAAGTGTTTGATTTAGATATGTTAAAGGTTTTAAATTTTCGAGCTACCCATCATTTTGTGACCTAACTGTGTTATTTAATTAAACCCATTACCTAGCATTGCCTTAAGCACTAGAGGTACTGGGTATGAGCCCC